CTATTTGTTGCAATTTTTTTGTCAATTTCCCTACTAGTAGTGTAGTTACAGTGCTGTTCCCCCAAAACTTCTCAGTTGATTGATCCAAAACTTCTGGATCCTYTTCCCCTTAATGCAAGGATTAGAACACTTGTCTTGTGAGTGCGATTGGTTGGATATTGATGGTGAAGAATTAAAGAGGCGACAGCTTGCTATGATGAGGTTGTGTTAATGAGTTTTTTCTAATTTTTGGTGCGCAGAGAAATCGGAAGAAACATATACAATAGTATCAAAAGGCAAGAGAAAATCCTTTCCGACTGATATATTCTCTAATTCTGATTGGTGCTTTTGCTAGCATTAACAAGGAAGCAAAGATAGCTAATAACTGGCGCATTTTATATACTCATAACCTGTTAGAAATCAATAGTCTTATTTCGCACCCAAACTCGTACGTACAGTACCTTGGATGATGATGCTTACAGTAAATATTTTTTTGATTCGATTAAAGGCTTCTTTTTCCTATTCGATAGTTCAAACGCGACCTAAATCTAGCGAGCAAATTATWATTTTTTATTCATTAATGAKGTATTATATATTTTCAGTCGCTCGCCGAGATTTGACTATCATCACAAATTAGCACGAGTATGAGAAACTCGCCGTTTCATCTTTTTGCGCGATGCAAGAATTGCACACTACCAATCTGCCAGCGAGGAATGTTCACGAAGAACAACTTGGCACAGTTATGCTGGGAACGGAATTATTATTCTATTTTTATCGATCGCTACCCTCATTTGATTCATATAGTCGAGGGCATTCAACGCTAAGATTACTGCGTTGCCACTGACWCTAAATACAATAACACAAAAATATCTCAAATAGGAGTTGTTTTTCTTTTGGAGGCAAGAAGTGACGAAAGAAAAAGTTGAGAAGGAAGTCCTATTTKGAAGCAAAATTAATATCAATGGGCATGGTTGTAAAAAATATTCCGGAGGATACAATGTCCGAATCACAGGTTCCGTCCTCTCCGATCAAGCAAATGAACAAGGTGGGAACAGACAGCGATAAGAAGGCAATGAAAGATGACAATAGGGATGATGTGTTGCAACGAACTTCGATAATCAAAGATGATCAAATTTTTGTCAACTTAGCAATGGCAGATTTGATGGCCTACCTCCAGGTAGTCGCAAACAACAGCAACAACTTGCCCTTGACGAGACGCGATGACCCAGAACTTACGCGAATGGTATCGAATCTTTCTAGTGAGGAGTATGCCAGAAAAAGTGCAGCATTCATCCCGGCTGATGTTAGGGTCATTGCGGGATCCTTTCTAAAGTATGGAAATGTGTGGGATTTACCAACAAGTGAGGAATATGTCGCATCAGATGGAGCACAAGAACCAGGTGAGTTATCATTATGATTGAAAGGACTGTAAGAAAGAACAAAGATAAAATTTACCCATGCGATTCGTCATCCTAACAAGTGAACATTCATRTTTTTCTTCACAGGACGATCGTATGGTGGAGCATGCAGTAACAGTATGTTGAAAGTTCTTTATGATGCAGCAAGCGAAGCTGCYACAAATGTGGATGATGTCAACGCATGYGATGCGCTTTTTGATGACGACGATGACGAATCGCTCGCTACTTTGCCATTGGCACGAAACAGTACATTTGCCTCTTTGGACATGAATGGACAATCCAATCCATCTACGATGACTTGGGCAGAACTTTTGAGAAAAATGAAGAGTGAAATAAACGATATTGAATACTGTCAAGCACCAACGATTGGAGCAACGCGCAAATTTGATTTGAACCAACCTTTCTCTCTTGTGCCTGAAACATTTGATAAGGCGACAGGCAAGAAAAGATCTCTACTCATTGGTTGCAATTATAATGGAATTGAGGGCGCCGAACTCAAAGCAAGCCATGATGATGTATGTTCTATGAAGGATTATATTGTCAATGTGCATGGATTCGCAGAAACTGATGATATGATGACGGTTTTGCTCGACGATGATAAACATAAATCGCCCACATTCATGAATATCGTTGAAGCATTCAAATCCCTTTCAGAGCAGAGTCAACCAGGTGATGCAGTATTCATCCAATTTTCCGGGCATGGAGGTCGAATCCTCGACTCCCCAATCAACAACAACGTGGAAAGCTACGACGAAATAATTGTTCCCTCTGATTACAGCACAAGCGGAGTTATTCGAGACACACTCATTTTTAAGACATTGTTAGCACCAATGCGCTACGGTGTTTCTGTGACAATTGTCATTGACTCTTGTGACACTGGGATGGTACTCGATCTACCGTATTCGTGGTCAACACGATACGACAAATTAGATACTGTRGCGAGAATGCAACAGAGTGAAAACTTTAGCTTCGTTCGATTTCTTAAAGTGGTCAAGACCCTTTACGAGTCTTCCACATTTACGCAGCTTGGGAGAACAGTTGGAACTGCGTTAGGCCAACAGCCTACTGTTGAGGAATCATTCGATGAGGAAGACCAGGAAAAGGTGATTACAGASAAGAAAGATTCCACGATCGAGCGTGCAAAGACTGAAGATGTTCAAGGATCATCATTTTTGGATTTATGCACTCCAAAAGGAAAACCTTCAAGATCTGGTTTTGGCACYGTTGAAAACAATGATCGTGACGCATTGAGTTTGATCGAAAAGATGCTTGGTTGTAATTTTCTTGTTCAYGACATTGATGACGACTTCTCTGATGGAGAAACCTTCGCAAACAATACATACAATACATTTGATGACAATCAAACGATGGAAAATGCTTCAACTTTCGACAGCGTGTCTGAAGGTGAATACAGGCGAACGTCCCGACGCAGGTCTCGTAAGGGGCGATAAAATCGAAAAAACACGTTGTCACATGGAACACCTTACCTCCCCTACTACTCACTTACGAACTGGATCACGAATGTTATGTAAATTATTATCTACAAAAAGTTTATAACTGAAGCAGTGCAATGTTGTTGATCTATTTGTTATCGCTGTTGGTTCTGGTCATTCGCATCTCCAACAACAGATCAGTCTATATCATTTTCTCCACCATTTCTATTATTATCGACAGGAGAAAAATCATTAATGCCAGTTAGCTCTTCTTTTCCTCCACCTTTTGGCCAAAAGCAAGCGTATCCTATCTGCGCAAAGCCACCAGGCCTTGAACTTGTTCCAGGAGGCATTTTTGACACCGTTTCCTCGGCTTGTTTTAAACGCGCCTGAAGTTGGGCTCTGTCCTGTGCTATCTGTTGATTGATTTTATGRAACAATTTAAAAGGTTCAAGAGGAGCTAATGTTTTAACTGCAGTYTTCGTCGCCCACTCTGGCAACCCTCCTCCTGGTCTGCAATGAGCCACAATGGTGATTCTTGTTTTTGTAGGATCCTCCGGGCACCTCGAGATGACTGTAATCAGTATAACTATAATCAGTCACARGCAAGGCAGAATATCAACAAATCAAACAAGAGCGTCYACAACAGACAAACAACGAATGGAAGTACTTACAATTGGCTCCTCGCAGAGCGTACCCGCGACAAGACTTCCCTTCCTTTTCCATTTTTTCCAAGGGATATTTCGGGTGCTCACAGGCTTGATTTACAATGACCTGTGTTCCGTCTGGCTTCCAGCGATGATGGCAAAATGTGACGAAGTCCCGTGGTTTGACAAATAAAATTTGAGGAGACGAACTCCAGCAAATTTTCGCATGGGGCGAGATCTCTTCCAAATCTTTGTAATTGTCTACGACATCGTTATAGCGGGGAAAAGCTTCTTCTTGAGACAAATAAAGACAGACGATCTCAGGGGGAGCATCAATAACGGATTCACATTTGATGCAAGGGTGCTTTGCAAAATCTTCTTTGTCCGCCTTTTCGCCCCTCGGGTCGACCATCCATTTCATGAAGGCCTGTGTTCGTCCCGTCCCATTCACACTAGCGCGAACCATTTTACTACATTCAACTCGAATCCATCCTTCCTCTTCCCCTTCTTGCAGCCTATCATTCGCCCAAGACTCGATTTCAGCTGCTAGTTTATCGGCTTCCTTTCGTCTTTTTTGCAATGCCTTTTCTTTCATTTCTGTGGTTGCATGGTCGTCTATTTGAAAGCTAGCATCGTCTCCGAGCATTTTCCTTTTCAGTTGTTGCATCTCTATCCGCATTTGCTCCATCTCCTGTCGCATCATTTTCAATTCTTCAATGGCTATGACCATCGATTCTTCGAGTTTTGGAGGGCGTGGTTTMCTTTGACGACTGCGATTTGGAATCATTCTTTGGGCATCAATTCCATAGTAGAATCCGGTGGATCCAACTGCATCCAATAGACTCCGTACCCGCTTTTTCGTACTACTTGACTGCACCTTGACGGACGAAACCATGCTGACGGAAGCACTATTCGACAATGAGGCATRTCTTCTGTTCATTCTACTGCTGCCGTTCTTCTCGGTGTAAACACTCATTACTGACGTGAGGGCCGGAGTGGATTGCGCTAGAGTCTTTCGTATCCGTCCCCGACCCATAATGTTCTGTATCGTGTCGCCAAGCATATTCTTTTGAAATCCTGACTTGGATCCATCCACGCTATATATTGTGGAAAGAACAACCAGAAAGACTAGTTGCAAAGCCGCCATCAGTCTTCGAGAGGCTCCCCTGGATTGCATTCTCCATGGTTTAGGTATTGATTCCCCTGATTGCGATATCATTCTCGATTCTCGCGACCGCAGATATTCAATTTTAGCACTTCAAAGTCTGGGACATCTGCTAGCCATGCACGTGCAGGGTTTGGTATTCAGAAAAGTAAAATCTCAACACCACAATATGTAATCCGCAGTCACGGTCAATTCAACATGAACGAGGCAGTCTCTTCTAATCGATCTAGTCTATTGCATAAAAAGTCAGAGGAAACACTAAGCATACATCTCGTTGAAGGTGACGAAACCCGTTGTAAATCAGTTGAAATAAGTCTTCCRAAGAGAACGGAGAAGTGATACCAAAACGATAACAACAAAACCCTCGCCTTCGACGACTCCWCTGTCGGATTCAAGATCCCCCCAAGCTCCTTATCATCAACCACATCATAACGTTTTGAGATTGACACTAATTTTTTTCTTTTGATGCCAACCCGACCCATACACGACTGCGCCAACCTTCCACGTGGATGATAATTCATCGTGTATGTTCCATCTGTTCATACCTTACAGGACGTACTCGTACGTACCATACTACCGTAGGACACACAAACCGGAATGAGGCTCGGACCACCAGCTTTTTCTCAATGGCTTCATTTCCACCAAAAGAGCTCTTCACTGGACTGAAAGTATTTCAGTCTCTTCAATTGAAATTGATAGGTGAATTGATAAAAATACTAGGGGGGGAATGAGTTGATTTTTCTAAAGGGGATCTTTATACTACTAGTACTACTAGTAGTACAACAAGAAGAAGTACCACCACCACTAGTACTACTACTACTACTGCTGCTGATGGTGGTACTAGTACTATTAACTGACTAACAACATGATATTGTCTAAAAGTGTTACATCGCTTGATAGGAATATCATTCAAATTGGTGAGGAGAGAAAGGAGTGCTAGCAACAAATTCATTTTATCCCTGATGGGAAGGAACATCCGCTGGCAGCATAGCAAGGCATTGTAACACCCATGGCTGCTGTTGCAAATAATTCTATTTTCTGAGTACAAAAGGCAGCTTCCAGGTCTTATTTGACGAACGCAACGTAAGAAATGATGTGAAAGAAAACGACTTTACATGAAGATAGAAAATTGAAATAACCTTTTTTTGTTGAACTTTTTTCCCTGCCTGACAACAAGCTTTATTGAAGTGGTAACGCTCATCGTCGTCGTCGTTTCTGGTTTCTCGAACCTCCGTCTCTTCCCCCTCCCCGTCTCTTRATTCGCTGTGGTTCGAAATCTTCCCCACCACGTGATCTCTTCTTGTCGGCAATCGCTGCCTGTTCTTCCATCTCGTCCCAGTCCATTCCTTGCTCTTCAAGATCCTCGTCTGCATCGAAATCGCTTTCGTCATCATCAACAGAGTCGTAATCTTCTTCATCGTCTTCCTCGAGCTCTTCTTCCTCTTCCGCACTCTCTTCTCCGAACTCGGAGTCGTCCTCATCTTCATCATCGTCATCGTCATCATCGTTACCGAACATTCGAAGGATTTCCCATCCAGCTTCCTTCTTAGTGAATTCRTCGTCTTCCGTATTCATGTAAAAACGATCGTCGTCCTTCGCTGTATTTAAAATGGACTTCCAGTTTAGATTCATCGGTCCTTCTGTGTAAGTGATGTCCATGTCAGTCAGCCACTCTTGGATGGCATCTTTGTCACCGTTGGGAATCATATCGACTCGCCATGGCATCTTAGTGAAATCCTTATTGATAAGAATGCAGTCAAATGCTTTACTCATGTATGTAACACGCTCGAAATGAACATGGTCAACATCGTCAAGATCCACGACAAAGAAGGGAGTCTCGGTCAAGTTCACGAGGCAATTCAACGTTGGGAGAACATTCACCATCTCTTTGTGAGGATTGCCCGTGAAGCCAAGATCGCGATACGGGACATCAAACTCTAGCTCATAATTGTTCTTCTTTGCGGTCATGTCGACCTTTTTGCAAAAATCTTTGAACGCAGAATTGAGTCGCTTTCGTAGTGTACGCTCTCTCTGTTCGTCGTCCATTTCATCGGGATCATACATACTCCGTCGACCATTGTCGACTGCTTGACTCGCATCAACAACCTCGGTGAAGAATTGAATATCAATGTGTTTCTTTTTGCCCACCATAATCGCATTCTTCAAATGAAAGTGTATGAGAACCATAATTTCATTCTCACAGGGTTGGAAAATGGCGTATTTGATATTGTTGTACATGATATCCACAACTTCTCCTCGTGTAGAAATAAATCTAAGACCATTTGTATGCGCTTCTAAATTCCCTTGCGTTTTTCTTCCGGCAAAGACCGGCCGCATAGTGAGGTCAGACAGTCTTGGGACTCGCTCGTTCTTCGTTCGTACTAATTTCTCTTGTTTCACTAGATTCTGTTCCTCAGTTTCTAGAATTTCCTTGGCACGGGCACGCTTTCGGAGCTCTGATATTTGACGAAAGGCTGCCACCAAGTTGTTTCCATCAAGACTTCGGAAGGTCATTTCGCGAATGAAGGAGGCGTACGGAGCGTATTTCTGGACAAGCTTCGCCATGTTTTGAGGGGCATCCTTTCCAAGCGCAATTCCGGCAGTGTAAAAGTTAATGCGCAAGAGGGTGGCGTTATCAGGGTCTGGAAGTACCACATTTTTGATGGTGCTGATATGAAAAGGAATTGGATTTCCAAAAACAGGGAGTAGGACGCATTGGTTCGCCATATCTACCTTGACCTGATTTGGTTGTACGTTTGGAGGATAATCGCGGGGAGTTCTGTAGGCTTCCAGTTCTTCTGCCTGATCCTCTTCCGCSCCCTTTCCTCGCTTCTTGGAATTTTGACGAGCAATTTCTCGGACCCTATCTTCGTTTCGTCGCTCCATCAGCGCAATCTGCCGACGCTCGCGCTCGGCAACCCCCTCGGCTACTTCGGCGAGTTCGTTCGGATCCCGAGCCAATCGTTTTGACCTTCTACCTCCATTATCGTTCTCGTTTGCTAGTTTGCGAGCTAGCTTTGCATCTTCGTCGTCRTCTTCTTCATCGTCATCATCGACGTCGTTGACGTTGTATGCAACGTTTGTAATAGCCTTGCTCATCTTGGTCATAACTTCGCCACCCTTGTCGGTAATACTAACCATATCTGAAACCATCAGAGCATAAGTCCTTAGTTTCTTCACCTGTAAGGATACAGATTTTCAAAACAATTACAAAGTGCGGGGCATGAGAATGAGTCTGAACTAAATCGTCGGGCATGAACAATAACTAGCGTCAAGGAAATGCACGTACCGGGCTATCCTTCGGAGTGTTGCTCAGATGAGATTCAGTTAGTTCTAGGTTCTGAAATCCGACTGCWAGACAAAATACCATGCCCTTCCGCAAGATGACACTGTTCTTCGGAGATAGTAGCAGGGTGGAATCGCGGAAGTCCAAGCCCTGGGCAAAACCAAGATTCTTYGGTAACTTTTCAACTAATTTTTCGTGTCCATTCTTTTTCAGGTAGCTCACAGCAGCCTTGTAGACCGACTTCAACGGATTTCCCGGTTGCATCACCTCTAAACAAGCTTCTTGGACTTCTAACAGTATTTCGTAGTTTTTCGATACTTTCTTGGGTGGATCTACCAGAAATGTCCTTGCAATGTTACTGCAATACAATTTGTAACGTGCCCCGAGCGATACCATAATAATGTCGGGCGAAAGAGAGTCGGAGGTTGACTGAGCCGACACCTTCAGCTCGTATTTGCCGTTGCTCTGGATGATCGGGAAGTAACAAGGTTGGACATCGTCGGCCGGAACCTCCAGCTTGATCTTTTTGGGATTTTCAATAATGGCCTCTATTTCGGATGCAAAAGATTCGTGGCTCACCTTTGTGTCCCCAATTTTTCCGTCCTCTCCAATAATGTCCTCAATAATGTCCTCCAATCGTTTAACAAACCCGTGCTTCATCACCTTGTTGCTCAGGATGCTCGACTTTTTCAAGAGATCTCGTTCCGACTGGTCTTTCACCGCCATGACGAGGGCTACCCCGTGGGTTGCATCTACCAGTTCGATTTTCTTGGCCTCTACGTTCTCGTCCAGTTTTGTTTCGTATGACTGAACGATCGATTTGTCCCCTGCCTCCTTGTTGATCGCTCGCTCCTTCATCAGAACACCCACCTTAGTCGCGCTGTCGCCGGTGTCTTCCCCGGTAGCCTGTTTGAGGAGAGTGGCGTAGTTTGCGGCGTTTCCATCTTCCTTGTCCCTAAGCAACAAGTGAATCTGGAAGTCCTTGTCCTTTCCAACGGCTGATCGGATGAACTCGCACTTCTTCTTCGTAGCGCAGACCCACAGATTTCCATCGTCTGTCAAGACCATGATCGTGTCTGGGAGCTCGTACCCAAACAGCCAGTGSTGTAGAACGACYGATCGGGCGTATGGATTCTCTTCATCGCTACCGGCTCGTTGAAAACTGAGGCACTTGGCGCCGTTCCAAAAGTTTTTCCTGTGAACAACGTGTCACATTTTTAACGATTGAATGAGATCGAGCCATGTTGTCCACGAGTTGCATCGATTCGATTTAATTGTAACGCAGAGACAGACGGACGGATATGTAGAGAGTGAGCAAACGAATGTATTGTGTTGAGATGGTTGTACCTAGACGTCGCGGCAGCAGCAGCAGCGGAAACATCAACAGCAACAGCAACAGCAACTAAAGCGGGTGCAATGCACACGAACAATCAGAAAAGCGAGGGCCACAAGACCACGAGGAGAAAAGACAGAACTATTTTGAAGGAACGGAGCYCGCAGTACACTCACTTGTGTTTGACAAAGCTCCCATGCAGCTTACGAAGGCGACTGTAGAAGCGCTCGACGTCGAGTTCGAACGACATGGCTGACGACTGACTTTGTTTATTGCGAGATACGGATCAAGTGGAACGAACCGGAATCCAAACTGTGTGGAGTTGATACAAGGCGTCGTTTCGACTCTTTTTCTCAGTGTTTGATGATAACGTGCGTTGATAGTTAGTGGCTCGAAATGTGGTCTTCGGTGGTTCAGTGAAAGTAAGGTTTCACGGTCAAGATMTTCCTTTGATCATCGTCCCTTTTTTGTCTTGTTGCCACTACCAATGCTCATGCTGCACTAATAAAAAAATACTGTAGACCAATTTTTCGTACTTGTTATTGTACCGGACAGCTCTTGTACGGTACGTACCGGTTYGTACATGTACAACATCGTATGACTTTGTCGAGTACGAGTACTGAAGACGTACGTACCGGTGGAAGCGTATTGTACGTACTGCTACGTACAATACKGTCCGGTTGAGCACAGGGCGCCAAAACAACACAATAATTTTTAAGCGCGCGCAAAGTCTGAGACGGATGACGACCAGGACGTTGTTTTTGTCCGGATCGCAGATGGCACATGGCACGCGACCGACCACCTGCGAATATTTAAAAAAATGATTTAGGTACGTACGTACGTACGTACGGTACCCAAGTACCATACGCACTGGTAAGATTTAAGGCAATTTCTTACTACTAGTAGCACTAAGAATGGATCATGTTACAGCAATTGTGAGCAGCAAAGGAAATTTTTAAGAAAGGGAGGACCAGCTACTAGTAGTACATATATCTGTAGGAAAGTTGTTTGTGAGGCGAGGGGGGGAGAGGGTAAATGGAGATGCTGGGAAGAAAATAACAAGAAAAATTGGTGGTGGTGGCAGAGGAGCCACCAGCAGTTCAGGATGGTTCCAACTACTTTTTCTTGCTTCTTTCACCATTTTCTAGTTACTGGCTCTTGTTATCATCCCCAGAATCATCATCAATACAATCTTTGTCCCCCTCCTTCTTGCCTTTGTCTTCCGAGAACACAGAGGCAAGAGGACATTGTTGTCATCATCTGCTTACTAGTTGACTCTCTGGAGCCATGATACTAGGCTAGTATTCTCTCAACTATTTGTTGTTGTTAATTATTGTGCTGATACTGCTTCCTTTCCCATCTGAATCCAYAACCATGGCATATAGCAGCGGTAGKTGCTGGTGAACATACATAATTKGCTGCTTCACATRTGCTTCATCTGTGTCCAGCACGACAAACAGCAGTACAGTTTATTGTTGTTGTTGTTCCTGCTGCTGCTCCAGGGTCATGACTAATAGCTGCTGTGTGCCTGCTGTTACATTTGTGTCCACTCTGCAAGTGATTGTTTTCTGGGAGCAGGGCTTTGTGAAAAACTGTTCCCCTTTCTAGTGATAGATTAGGAATGTGTCTTTATTGTCTAATCCCACCTCCATAGCTTCTCCCTGACCGTGGCCTCCAGCTGCACCACTTTATGCTTATGCCGCTAAAACAACCGCAGATGGTTGTCAGACAATACAATTACATTATCAATCTGAAATAACACACCATAGAAAATAGGGTAGCGTCAATTTCAATGAGCACGCCTGTTGGTGCGTTATTCCATTTGCCCTCTAAATTAAACAGATGAGAATGTAAAGGAAATGYATTACRAAAAAGGCTGTGTGCCATTGTAAAGTGATTACAAAACACTCCAGATTACTCTATTGCACACAAAAAGCTTCAAGAAGAAGAGGAAAATTACACTAGATTTTTGAATGTGGGCATATTCKGTGATTCTAGTGGTAGCAAGGGTATTGATAATGCAATATTKCATTTTGAATACTGTAACGTGGGAAAAGTACTAAAATRATTCGTACTGCAATCCATTAATAAGGGGTATTACACAGCACAATTCAAAACCGATCCAGAACAGTTCTTGCCTCAAGGTGATGAAAATGAATTTGGATWTGGGGGCTTTTTGGGAGAGTTGATTGGTTGCGAAACGTCACCGGCCACACTCGACCTTTTTTCTGCAGAAGAAGACGTTGATTCGAGAACTTTAACAATTGTGCCGCTCAAAACAATGAGAGAGTGAATTTGTATTCTTTCTGCCTTRGAAACGTCGGCGGTTGCCGCCAAACTCAAAAGACGCAAACCGAATAGATGGGTAGACCCGATTTTCACATCGAACTTCGCATTTAGCAACGGCTCGGACTCCTCAGCCTTCTCTTTGACCCATTCGCAAATGTCGGCATCCAGTGTTCCCATTATGTGACGGATTTCGTCACTTGGGTTCACATTCAGCAAATTGTTCAATCTTCGACACATTATATCAAGTCCCTCGTCCACAAAATGCTCAACGCTTATAGACGAAGAACTCTTCGTCAGCAGTTCGTCAACTGCCGCATCTTTTCCGAACTCGTACATGGAAAGAAGGAAAAGAGTATTCACATTCATTCTATCAAAGTCCCAGAGATCGGCAAGTGCATCAATATCTCCCATATTCAGTGTATCCATATTTGGACCGTGGTAGGACTTAGCAAATACGACAATCGAATCTTGCATAAATTCATGCTGCTTCTCTTCTATTTCCTCTGTATACAACACTTCGTTAAACAACGCCTCCGACAGGAATAGGTGATAGAACGAAGGAATACACCCCGTCAATTTTTGAAGATCRTTGTTTATGCGCAGAGCGTAGACTAGAGTCTGGTGCGCTTCCAAAGCACCTTTGTCGACCAACTTGTTTCGAGCAACCAATCGCTGCAGAATGAAGCAATCTCTGACAGGTGGCCACGTTGAATCGTCTTCTACAACTTGAGATGTCCATTGATTCACGTGCTCACCTTCTCCAAAATTGATTCCAGCTAGAAGTTCCAACAATTGAGATGCATACTTGCTAAACGTATCCACCCAAGCCGTGTCGTTGAGAAGCGGCGTGATGACATCAGGAGAAATCTCGTGAACGTCATCAAAGCCGAACAGCATAGCTCGATAAATCGGCCTGATTTGCCTTTGCCACACGTCTAAAGTGACAGCGTATGCTAGACTCTTTTGTTCGTTTTGATCGATTGTCCGCATTGCAACAAGTGCATCTTCAAGAATATCCAGTCTGCTGGGCCCACGCCCCCATTTTGAGGAGAGGAGAAGTGCCCTATGTGCAACTAATAGTTCAGGTTTATTGTGGGGCCTTAGATACAAATGAAGTGCTCCGAGCCTTTCGTCGTCGTCGAAATCTACCAAGTATTCGGCCCTTTCGGATTCTCCGAGTGCAGCCGTGAGACAGGACCTCTGTACTGTCTTCCACCGGATTTTCCCATCACCCTCTCGTTTCGAGGGATCAAACGCTCGGTTGCTTATCTGGCACGCCATTTCCAGAGTTGATATTTCGCCTTGGTTGTGACTCATCGCGAGCTCATCTCGGGCCAACCACTCGAAGACTGAAAAGTTRTCTTTTCTATCTACAGCCTTCACAGAAATCGGACATGCACCGAGGGGGCTACCAAAAAGACGTAGCGACACCAGTAGGCAAACTCGAAGTTGTCTCAGTAGCGTATCCCATCGACTGATAATCTGTGACCTATCCACTCTTCCATAAGTCTCTTTCTCTTTGTCTGTAGCTACTTCAAAAATTGTTTGACGACAGAGCGCTGCCAGCCAGAAAGCTCTGACTAGGTCTTCGGAATGACGGCAAAAGTGGTATAGCGAATCCATAGGCGTTATTTCGTCGGCATCAAGAGAATTATCGATCTGACAKGAAGCAATCTCCTTGAGCCAACGCATTGACGGAGAAAACTGCACAAATATAGCATTTTTAGTCGCTTTCTTGATTGGAAGCCCTACGAACCATTCGCCGAAGCACTTRGCTTTGTATTCGTAATTGTTTTTGATCCCAAGTGAATCAAATACTTGGTTGACCACTTTGAATGAGAACACATCGCTGATAAGTGGTTGGAAAATTCTTGCGATCATATCCCTCCTTGTGCGAGAACTGTCGCTGAGGAAAATGGCATAGCCACCATTCTTTTCGTCAAATGCCGCAGTCTTCCATTTCTTCGGAGCTACAAGGCATGATGCATATTCGYAAAACATCATTGGATCTGTTGGAGGAGGTACAATGTCCTTATCCATCATTTCTTTTGTAATTTTTAAGTATGTAGATGTCCATCCTGCAGCTTCGAGACCCCAACTCTCAGGTTGTTTTACCTCCACATCTAAATCTCCACTTTCAGTATTTCCCTTCTCATACTTATGCAAAATCTCGTATCCTGCACAAACTTGCATATARTATGCAATTTTGAATGCAAGTAATTCAACATGAGGGTTGGTTAAGCATTCCGAACCTCCTTTTGAAATTGCCTCGTCGAGTTTTYGTTGACAAAGCGATAATGCCAACCGTTGGAACGAAGATCCATCGACCCCCATTTTCTCTTCTAATGCATGAGACGTCGCAACTGTATCCAAGCATTGTGCCAAGTCTTCCAGGGAATCGATTTGTTCCATCGTTTTGTACACATCTACTGACTGGCATTCTACGTTAGTTTCGCCCAAAAGCTGCTGCAATCGATTCATTCGGGCTGTAGCCTCTTGGGATGGCATCGATGATTCAATTGTCTTGGCGGGATGTTCCAGAGATCGTCTTCCCTTATCATCRTTGTTATTGCCTTCAAGAGATACGGTGATACGTTCTACTTGATTCATGTTCGAAAATGGGACATTTGAGTGTACGATGTAGCACGTGTTGATATAGCCTGTTCCACCGGGATATTTTTGGCGGCAAGAGATCACTTCTGCTTCTCTTCCAACTTGCATACTTTTTACCCTTATGCCATGTGTCATTCGCCAGACTTCGACGACAGATCTTTGGCGTGAATGGATGACCAAAAACAACATCGGTTTGCAAGTTGCTGCGTTGGCTTCACTTTGTGGAACTTCGATCCAATTACAAGAAGTCTCTCTGAAGCCTTTCCACATTCTTATGATTTGTTTTGTCCTTAGATCCATCAAAGAGACTCTGCCGAGCGTATCTGTTAGTGCTGCAAGGTTTCCATGCGGATCAATAGTGCACTGAGAAATTTGTCGAGGGGAGTCATGAATTTCGACMCCCGCGTAGAGGTCAATAGGTGCTCGATTGATCGCAGGGTAAGGAAGACAGGGTTCCCAGTCAGCATCTCCGTTCGACGACGTCTTCTCTGCTCCATTTAAATCAGCAACGGCATCACCTGCAGTGCCCTCTGTTTCGTCCTCATTGTGGTCGCCACCCCCAGTAAAAACGCCAAATATGCCACCGACAATGGCCGCTAACGGGTTGCCCAAACTTCCAGCATTACTATCTACTTTTTTTTCCTCGTTACATGAAGACCCGTAGAGTAGTTCTCGTAAATCGCCCTCGAATCGCCCTGTATATTGATCTTCTGACGTRTAGAAGACCAGAGTGGGAAAGGCATTGTCATAGTTGTTCTTGTAATAAACGATKGCTTCGTAATCTTTTGACCAATCATCCTCTTTCGGTTTTTCACCGCCTYTCGCGGTGTGCTTTTTATCGCMGTAATTATTTGTGTCAGTGTCGATGCCGCGGCCCATCATTCCCRCCTGATAAGCATCATTCCATGATGTAGGAAAAGGCGTCACGCTGTTGGTGGCCGCTGCCAATGGTGTGGGATGAYACCTCGGAATCGGGATGACAATCATGCGATCTGCACTCAAAGGGTTGGAAAGTGTGGAAGATATCGGCAAATGCGCCTGCCATTTGATAAGCGATTGACCCAATACATCCTCCAAAGACGGTGGCAATTCATCCTTTTTATTTTCGTGACCCTCACCGTTTTYGTTGTAATATGTATTGCTGTACTTGAGAACAACCGAAGGAAAGAATCCAGCATGATGGAGTCGCATACCTGTTCCATCTCCATAACCGATCCAAACGTAGGTCGCAATATCGTGCTCAACACCATCCCTATCGCCAGAATTGCCAGTTTCCTTTGATTTTTCAATTGATTCGTTGTTTCTACCRGTTATTTCGTTCAGCTGTGAACGCTTTTGAGCATSTACGGTCGAGACAGAGTAGGGAACCAGCGAGGCAACACCGCCTCTTGGATCAAAAGGAACCACTACCTTCTGTTCTTTGTTTCTTTCAGTGCTTTTGGCACTGCTACTTCCACTATTGCTGAAATTTTCGTCGAKCCTTCGCGTGCGGTGCAGACGACTGCAATCCGCTGTCGTTTGGGGCAAATCTACTTGTTTCAGCGTGAGATGATCGCGTGGAAAGGGTTCAAAATAGGGTAGAATGGYCTGATCTGACCCACTTCCAGTGCTGTAGCTGCGTCGTACCAATTGCATTGACTTTGTTTGCACCGAAAATTCGATGGAGATGACCCGGCTGGATTTTGTGCCGACTATAATCGCCAATCGAGAATTTGGTGAAACAGGGACAACGCCACCGGTCAACAAAGATTTGGGTTGTTGCTGCTGACGACGCGTATGAGGAGGTCTGTTCTGTTCCTGATCGTGGTCGTCCGCAACGACGAGAGAATCGTCCATCGTTAAATCGGGTCTTTCCAGTGTCAATATAATGGCAGATGTGATAGCATCCTCTTCGGAGACTACCAAGACCTCGACCGGGGCTCCCGCGCCCGAAAACCCAACCGATTCTCTCATGACTTGCGCAGATATACATCGCTCCGTATGTGCCATCATTGCCAGGATAGGTTTCTGCTGCTTGCTCTTATTGCTTTCCGGGATGCGACACAATCTCAGCTGAGGTCCTTTTCGATGCCCGAAGGTAGACGACGATGCCATCGCCGACTGTTCCTCCTCGGACAGTTTCGACTCGAGCATTTTCACGTGGGACAAGAGCGCTGCCGCTTCGATATGTCTTCCTTCCCCTCCTCCCGTCATTGTAAAATGATGCACAAATGTATTGGTTGCTAGCTATCAAACAAATCTTCCTAATTCGTGCCTTCTGTTCGTGTGGYCTCTATTGTGTGTTTTTGACCCAGAGACACGTTGATCATTTTGARAAGTGTTCTCGAAAAGCCATGTAGGAAGTTGTTCGAGCGTATTTCTAACAAAACGGTAGTAATAGCGTTCGTGTRCCAGAATCGTACCACAACCGAACCGTCTAGTATCACATCTTACCGCACGTACACTACGCTACGGTACCTGTAGAATCATTAGTGATTAGATACGAGTATCGTGCTWACCGCACTACACTGAACCAAATAATGTTCTATTTTCAAAAAAAATGAGGATGAAAAGAGTGTGCGCGACCAAAAAAAATGCGATTTTTAATGCACTGATTGATTCCAATCGCGAGGAATTTTGGAGGAAAAAGATTTACTGTACCGTACTCTGAACTAAAAAAACAGCAGTCCGTACTGTAACTTTCTCTCACGCTGCGGGATACGTCCGAAACTCAAAAAGCTTGAGAACATTAGTAGCGGTAGTGGTTGAAGAAACCAGAAAGGATAGGCGGGCTATGGACATGGTCCTTTTACCTCAAACAYTGTCGAAAAAATACAGAAGCTTAATACTAGGTCTAGCTGCGTCTAGTCTAAACTTCAATGCTATGGTACTACTTCGCGAAGATAGGCACCCCAGCTGCCAAACTGGCAATGTAAATCCCGAGGCTCATCAAACTCGTCGTGCCACAAACGTTGGCCAGAAAGACGACGATTCCAATAGAGACGCTTTTGCTGAACTTCGTCTTTCGCTGGATTGCAGCAACTGCCTTATCAAAGTAGGGTGTGACTCCGATCGACACGGCTAATCTCATCGGCCGAATGAAGTTGTTAAACACGTAAAAGCCGGCATAGACAGCTAGAAAGCCCTTCCATTGTCCCGGTGCCAGCGGACTTAGTCCAGTCTTTTTCGAAAAGCCAAACCACCTGGTTGTGAAAAAACGTAGATGTCAGACATTTTGAATACTAGCGTGAATCCAAAGCMATTCCTTCAGCTTTCGTTCAWAGAACTGATTTGTATGAAGTGGATCATAACCAATCAAACAACATCAAGGTTCGAATGGGAAACCCTTTTGTTTTCTTGTTCTATCCGAATCACTTCACTTTCACTTAGTTTTCACAATGAAATCCACTTTGATTGACTTACGCTAATGAAACCGTGAAGCAGTACGATATATTGGAAACAAACCTGTACACGCGGGCAAAGTAAAAAAACATAGTGAGCCGGTGCAATAATCTGCATTTCCCRTGTATGGAAACAAATCGTGCCGTTTCGTGTTACTCCTCATTGTCCGTACTGCCAAAAAAACTGTGACAAAAGCAAAACCAAGCATCCAAAACGCCTTGTTCGTATAGTGCATCCGACGAAGAGCAGATCAGATTATACGTGATGTTGTCGTCAGCGGATTTTCCGACAGCAATTGGATTATATATATTCSTCACTTCTGCTTTTCAATACGTCGGTCCTTTTCCTGAACCCACAGTCGATAATATTCCCCCTGCATGATTCCTCAATCGGCGTTGAAAACAACACGAATTTGTTTCAGCTGAATGCTAAACTCACCCGTAACTCAATAGCGCCGAAAGACCCATCTTCGCTAGTTTTTGTTTGAAAGTTAGACCGTCGTCCTCTTCGACCTTCAGGCTTCCATCTTTGTTGTACTTGTAGAACATCAAAGTCCGTTTCCAAGCCGGAACCGCGGCAGCGGAGGACAATGACTCGTCTTCAGAGGACGCAGACGACACATCGTCGCTCCCCATCGATTCTGAAAGCACTGGTAGAGATCGTTGGTAGCAAKCCATGCCATTAGACTCCAAGAAGGGAGAGGCCCGACCAGCTCGGACACTCTGCTGCTGGAAGACKTCGGGTTTGTTCAACCATCTCGCCACGGTCGGTGTGCACGTCGTGGTTCTGCGCAATGGTGTCGTTGTAAACGCCGAACACGCGATTATCGTTGCCAACAATAGAGTTATACCGAGTTCTATTCTTTGGTTCGTCATTTTCTGCGCTCGTTGCCAAACTTTTCAGTGATTGCAGCARTTMTTGTTGTTGTGATCTTTATGTTTGTGGATGATATTCCTGTTTTGTCTGTTGGGTCGTCGGTCAATTGGTTCGCGTACGGTACGATACGTACGTATTTTCTATGCCTCACTGTGATAGAAAGTACTGTACGGTACGTATTATTGCACTGTTGTACAATACTGTGCTTGAGCGAGGGCATCAAACTCTATTGTGCAGTACGTACGTASGTACGGTTTTACCTAAAAACAACGACTTCAGCATTCAGCAGTGATGTCAAATCATAAAAATTGGATGATTTTGATGTCCTTTCTTCAAGTGTTCGTTGATCGTTGCGTTGGTACCGGTAGACGAGACTGGGAAAGCGTGATTCCGAAGTCACGGTTTATTTGTGTATTTGATTCATTCGACTCAATTTCTGTATTAGATTGCGCGACAACAAGCCAAGACTGCGCGTCAAGGACCAAAGGTATCGTAGTACCGTAGCCATCGAAGATTGAAACCCGAAACCAACAAAACAATTATTCCAAAAAAAGAAGTCGACGCATCAAAAATGAACAGCTGACTAAATCTCAGAAGGCAACCAATGCAACACTATCTTGACCATTGCAACCACAAGCAAATGATWGTTGGGGTGCGTGCCATCCATTTTTTTGTAGGAAGTAAAAACATAGGAAAAAAACATGCCGAAAACGAAAACCCAGGGAGGAGTAGCGCGAACCAAAAACGGTTCTGCCCATTCCGGCGACAGAATGAAGAAAAAGAACGACAAAAACAATAACGCACAAGAAAAGAATGCTGTTTCTTCCAACAAGAATACTAAATCGAAAGGCRAAAACAGCAAAGAKAAAGACATGGATTGGATCGCATCGCTCGTCAAAGAGAATGCGTCCAGAGACGATGGAGCGGGGGSAAACACTATCCCCTCGAAAGAAGATCGGAAAAGAAAACGAGAGATGAAGAAAAACCGAAGGATGGAACAACAACAACAGAAGCAGCAGCAGCGGCAACAAAATCAGCGGCAACAGGTGCCGGTGCCAWCATACACCGTCGAAAAGTCKAGCAAGACMAAAACGTCACAACGGACCAGCGCACTGCATTCGGCTCAGCAGGAGGCGCGATCAGCGATGTTGCTGAAAGTGTCGAAACACCGCATTCGTCGATTGTGCCGCACCCTGAAAGTCGTTCAAAAATCTGTATCCGGCGAGAAGGGACCGTCTAAAGTACGCTTCAGTCCATACTACGATCTCCCTAAGGGCAGCAACCCAAAGGCRCCTCGTACAAGCAACGGCGTACCCACCAAGAAGAGGAAACGACAGAAATGGTCCGAGGATTCCATTCAACCTCTCCGATCGGATTACAGTGGAATCGGAATGGCGCGCGAGTCCATGTACATCGAGTTCGTCGATCCTTCCTATTTTCCAAAACTAGAAGAAGAATTTCAGGAACACATACCCGGATTTTTTGGGAAGCAGCGGACCAAAGCTATGAAACGACAGATGGACGGAAACATGCTGTGGAGGCGATTGGCAAACGAGAAAAAGAAGAACGGMGGCAGCAAAAAATTTAAGGAAATGTCTACAGACGAACGGCTACAAGCGATGTTGGACTCTACCGACARAAGCGATTTGCTGRGGCAAAATTGAGRTTAATTTTAAGCTTCCTGACCGAATCGAAAGCATTTCACGTGTCAGATGGTAGCAGATCCCAATCGAGCATTGTTCTGATAAATTTTCTCTGGAAAAATTGGAATTTCTACACGTAAAGCATACCTCTCGACCAAACAGGCACAAAATCAAATAAAGAGTTAAAAACTTAAGAGTCTTTCATAGTAGGGAWTGTAACTGTTCTCTATGTGCCTCTTTTAGGTAATGATGTCATGTTGAAGTAGTAATAGCAGTTTTAGTATATGATTGATCTCTGTCGATGGGRTTAGTTGTCTTCGGATGGTGATATTGTTGTTGAAGATGTTGATGATAAGGTGGACGTTGGCGATTTCTTCTTCTTTTTCATAGCGCTTGGTGGTACCTTGCCTTCAATGGATCCGTCCATTAATATTTCAGCTTTCATTGACTGACCGCCTGTATCCCACCTAGAAACTTCGAACTCCCTTTTCGCTTTATTGGTGCTATCTATATCAGCATCAGATTTTTTGTCGGCATCCCTTGAATTCTTTTGCTTCTTCAGATTSACCATGATTTCGGGATCTGGACCTTGCTCGGGCTCGTCGGCGGCGGCAGAAAATGATTCTGTCATTGACTGCCTATAAACTTCTTGCGCATTTGCTTCGTTTCCACCTCTTTGTTCCATCAACTCATATGCCCTCCATAATTGATTSGTTTCGTCGGTTCCGGGTGTGAACTGTTTCAGCGAACGTTTAAACAAGGATCTGGCGTCTTCTAAATTTCCCAGCTCTTCCTCCATATTTGTCMAGGCRGTTATTGTGGCGACRTTACGACTGTCTGCATCCAAGGCACGACTGAAACAGCGTCTTGCTGCAGCATAGTCACCCTCAGCGGCCTCGAGAACACCCCAACCTTGCCAAAGGCGCGCGCAGGAATATCCCCCCGACTGCCCACCGGTCAGCTGCGCACACGCCCAGATTCCCTGTTGAAAAACATTGCGGGCTTCTTCTGGGTTTCCCTCGCGGGTTTCCAAAACACCCCAAGCTTGCCACGCAGGAGCATGTCGCTTGTTCACTTCAGTCGCGCGACGCAACAAGTCTCGAGCAGAATCAATATCTCCCAATTTTGCAACGTAGAGCCCGTAGGGTTGCAACACCCCTGCATCTCTAGGATTCGCTTTCAAGGCTCTCTCAAACAATCCGATAACTTTGCGGCTATTTGACTCTGGTCGTTTCGATTCCATGATTGCAWACGCCTGAATTACGCGAGAGTTTCGCTGATCAAACTTCAGAACAGTTTCAAAACACAACTGAGCTTCGTTCCATTTTTCGAGGTCTGCCTCCATACAACCTAGTTGCAACCATGCCGCAGAACATTTCTTATCMACTGTCAGAGCAGCCTTAAACAACTTCCTTGCTCGTCGGATGTCGCCGCACTTCTTGTATTCCATTGAGGCCCATGCAGTATATACGTAGGATGATGGCGGCAAACCAACTCTATTCAATTCACGTTCTGCTGCTTGGTAACAAACACGTCCGGCGGCCGCACCTTGGCGAAGTTTGCGTGTACGAAGCTGCGCCAGTGCSACCCATGAGGCCGCATGAGAAGCTCTCGACCGTACAGCACTGATGTACAAGGACTCAGCCTCTGAAAGATGCCCGGCTTTCTCTTCAAGACAGCCCAGAGCTTGTAATAAGAACGGATTTGCCCCKTTGTCAGGAGTAGAATCCTCCGCACACGATACACTCTGCGCAATACCTATTCGCAGACATTCTCGTGCTAGYTTAAAATCCCGTCGGCGTTGAGCACATCTCGACAATCCCAAATAAGCTCTTCCATCACGGGGATCAATTTGAATGGCCATCTCATAGAGTTCTTGAGCCTCTTCGAGTCGATTACTGCGCAATTCTTTTTTCGCGTGATRGTTGAGTATGTCGGCATTGATGGGAAGAGGGTTGCCCAAACGTACCCCTTCCCTAAACTGAACAGCGCCGTCACCCATCAAAGAGGTTTSATACGTCTCAGTTCCACGTCGATAACCATAGAGACGATCTTCGACCATTCTTGTTAGAGCAAAATCAACTTTGGCTGGTGATGCGGATTTTGATTTTGTGGTTTCACCAGTTGCAGAAGTAACAACAGCTCCTTGATTCGCATTGGAATCAACACCTTTCGACTTC